GCCGCCGCCGCAGCTGGAGCCGCCCCCAGAGCCACCGCCGCCGCAGCTGGAGCCCCCGCCGCCGCCGGAGTAGCCGCCGCCGCAGCCGGAGCCGCCGCCGCCGCCGCCGCCGTAGTACTTGATCCCTCCTCCGGAGCCTCCGCTGCCGCCGCCCCCGCAACTGGAGCCGCCCCCAGAGCCACCGCCACCGCAGCTGGAGCCGCCGCCGCCGCCGCCTCCGCCGCAGCTGGAGCCGCCGCCGCCGCTATAGAAGCCGCAGCCACCGCTGCCGCCGCCGCCGCCGCCGCCTCCGCCGCCGCCAGAGATCTTCACGCAACCCGCTGGGGGGAAGGGGGTGGGCTGCTTTTTCTGGTGGGACATCTTGTCTAAGGAGGAAGGGGACCCTGGAAAGAGAAAAGAGCATCACTGGACCAGCGGCAGTAGGAGGCAGCACAGAAGGCAGCTGCACCGCGACAACACCCGGAGGCTCCTGGCGCCTCCCTTGGCCGCTCTGTTCAGGTGCCAGGACTCCAGGGTCGCTGCTCTTGGAGAAGGTTCCCTCCAGCAGAAGGCCCTTTTGCCCAGTTTTGAAGCCCAGCTAGTGTGCCTGCCCTCTCTCCCAGCTCTTCTGATCTCTGTTGTGAATTGGGGCAGATCATCCCCTCGGGCTCCTGCTTCTCATCTTCTGTAAAACGAGGTGTTGGAACACTTTGACGCCTGGGTCGCTTCCCATCCAACACAGGTTTTCTGAGTTAAAGAAGAAAACTACCCCAGATCTCTACCTAGGATGGGGGAGGTGTGTCGGGATGTCACAGGCCCGGTTTGCATTCCATTCTCTGCAGAAGCCCATAGTTCAAACTCTTGCTCTGTCCCAGTGAGGGAGGCTGTGATTGAAGGACTAGTTACTAGAAAAGGCTCTGCTGTGTCTGGAAACAGGGGAAAGGAATGGTCCTAGGGACCAGCATCTTGGATATATTGGACATATCTTTTAAGAGATGCTAAGTCCAAATTTGRTAGAGGCAACTGTACATTGCAGGAATTTGTATCCACAGCATCTCATAAGCCATTACCCTCTCAGATCATCTGAGGTTGATGATCTGAGAGGGTAATGGCTTATCCATCCAAATCCTCTTGGAAACAGGATTTGGATTTTTGTGGCTCCTAAAACCTCTCTCCTCTGCAGCATTCCTTGAACCATTCTGTGCTCAGCCTCTCTTCCCGAYGGGTTCATGAAGTTCATCCAACCCCTGCACAGGCTGCCTTGTTCAGCCACTGCAGAATACGTCCCCCAGTGTGTCTGGTACTGCCCCTGCCCCTATGGGAATGCCAGAGAGGCCCAAGGTAGTCGGGTCTTGGTGGAGGTTACAGTCTGGTCAAAGGACCGGAAACACTATCTGCAACTCGGTCCTCCATCCCTTTCCTGAATCCCTTCTCCTTATGAATGCAGCAATGAAGGTCCTGTAGCTCCCAGAGAGAGAGAGAGAGAGAGAGAGAGGCCCTGCTCACCAACACATGTAGGCCTGAGCAGGCCAAAGCCAGGAGAACCCACACTTACCTGAAGCACCAGGAAGGGTGAGTGAGGAGAGGAGATGCTGATGTGGGGAGCACTGGAGCTCCTGGGGTTTTATACTCTGCCTTCTCTGACTCACTTATTGATTGGTTCAGCATCTTATGTTTGTCCTCCCTTACGTGACCGGTAGCTATGGGCCCCACCTCCCTGCGATTGCAGGCGCAGGGTGACCCATTCATGAAGATTTCTGGCATTCTTGAGATAGTCAGCTTAGTGTATGACTGGCCCCTTCTCTGATGCAACTGTCAGGGACAGGCTGGTCAGTGGGGATGGCCAGCCAGAGTGGATGGCAGACATTGTTTCCTAAACCCCTGGCCTGGAGCATGTGCCGTAACCAGAGGGCTGTGCTTGAGGAATAGGTCCAAGGCACAGGTCTTGAGGTGGCCTAAGAGAGGCAAACTGGAKGTCTCAGTCCTTGGTTCAAGGGGTAGGACTTCAAATTCCCGTTTGGTTTCCGGTCCTGTTGCTCTGGGAACTCTCRCACTTTTGAATCTGCCCCTTTCTGCCAAAATTTCTTTTTTTAAAAAAATATGCTTTTAAAAATATATTTATTCTTCAATTCTAGGTGGGAACAATATCTTTATTTTTATGTGGTGCTGAGGATCGAACCCAGTGCCTCACACGTACTAGGCGAGCGCTCTACCTCTGAGCCACAACCCCAGCCCTTGCCAAAATTTCTATCCTGGGGTCTCATGAGTGCTTTGCTGGGGGTGTTTCTGTCTGGCCTACTGGACTGTGAGGGTGCATGGGCTCCCAGCTCCCCAGCCTGGATGGCTCACCAGRGACAGTGCTGTAACTAACGTGATGCTGGGGGCTCCTTTGAATTGTCTGTGGAGACAGCTGGTGTTTGAGAGGGTTGATCATCAATACCGACTTTCCTTGCAGAGGCACAGACTAAAGAGATGGACCATGTCGTTCTTTCTACCATGGCCCTTTGTCTCTGGTGTTCTGTCATAGGGTATGTGACATTGACCTCAGTCAGAGGGGCAGCTGTGGAATGGAATGAACTTGAGATTRGGTGACCTGGTTTGGGTGCTCCTTTTGCTGCCTGCTACCTGTGTCACCTTGAGCAAAGTCATAGCACTTTATGCAGTTCCTGCATAGAGGACACTCAGCAGATATTTGTTGAATGATCATTATCTGGTCTCCCAAGTAGGAATAGGAATACCTATTTTGCAGGCATATGAAAGAGGGAATAGTAGTGCACAGTGTCGAAGGTGATGCTCTCTTTTTGTTRTTTTCTGATATAACAGCACATCCTTACTTTCAACTTGGCCTGCCCTTGGACTCTGGCCTGGAAAGAGTCCCTGGGTGGCTTGAGGCAAGCTCAACTCTTCTACTCCTAGGAGATTGACTCAAAACTTTCCTATTGACCCTGGACTGGCAGCATCCGCTCTGCGAACGAGGAAAAGCAGGCCCCCTTTATTTCATCACCAGAACTCAGTTGCTGTTGTTGAGGATACCGCACTTGAACTTTGTTCTGCCTCGCCATGTGTTGAAATAGTAGCTTCAGTCAGAATTGGTCGTTAATTATGGTGGAGTTTTAATGATCCCAATGATCCTGATTAGAGTGTGGCCTTCAGAAACTTGCGGCACTAGTTTCAGTTTGGACACCATGAACCCAGGTGACCCAAGAGAACCTGGGTGTTTCTCTCCTTAGAGAATAACCAGGAGGGAGAGCCAGGCTCTGTGGGAGAYGGCACACTTCTCCCCTTGAAGCTGAGGTGCCATGGAGATTTTRCAGGGAAACGGTACCTCACTGGTGATTACCGTAGGTATGAAAAGGAACCATTTGGCTTAGTGGGGCTGCGAGGGAGAGGAGGAGCACGTTTGGACCRCAGCTCCCAGCACTGATGTTGTGTGGCCTGTGTTTTCCTGTTGTGAGTGTTCACCAGTCCTTATAAAGTCTAAGCAAGAGAATGTCCACAGCCAGGTGAGGTGGCAYATGCCTGTAATCCCAGGGGCTTGGGAGGCTGAGGCAGGAGGATTGTTTCAGTTCAAGGCTAGATAGACTCAGCAATTCAGTGAGCAATTCAGCGACTTAGGGAGCCTCTGTCTCAAAATTAAAAAAAAAAAATTGTAAAGGACTGGGGATGTAGCTCAGTGGTCAGGTGGCCCTGGGTTCAGTCCCCAGTACCAGGAAAACAAAACAAAGGAGGCAGCTATGGCATACACTGACGGTGGTCCCAGGTCTGGTGGGTCCCAGCCCAGAGCTAGCTTTGCATGAGGTGTGAACGGACAAGTCTATTTTCCATTTTATCCCTCAAGACCAGAAGTAGTCCTGATGGCATACCTGTGTGGACAGCAACTGATTATCAGCTTTAATCATATCAGATAGGAAATGATAGGTGTTCATAGGATTATGACACACAGGTATTTAGGATTTTGTAAAACTCGGTATGCCAGATTTTAAAGATTTATAGCCCTTAGACACTTAACCCTGAAATGCATACTCGCTAGCACGTCTGACTTGTGCAGCAGCGTGACAGTTTAGGACCCAGTTCCTGCTGATACCTGTCTGTGCAGAGGAGATAGGTCCTTAAAGCAAATGTTTCCAAGTGCCAGCGTGGTGACAGGCATTTCAGTAGTGCTCAGTAAGTTCCACCRGAGCTGAAGCGAGCTCTGGAGGCCTACTGACTGACAGTGGTTGAAAGATGATCCTTTGGTGTGATGAAGAGGGAAAGGTCTCAGTTTGAAAGGGCCGGTAAACCCAGCCCTTGTGCAGAGACTCCAGGGTCAGCCACAGAAGCAACATTTGCGAGTGGGGTTTCACCTTGCTTCTGATGCTGCTTTCAGTGTCTGTCTGATGGGCAGGCCCTGCCTAGGARGTGTGGGCATGCTTGCTTGTGTGTGTGTGAGTGGTGGCAATTCCTAGGAAAGATGTGGCAGTTGGGAGTGTTAAGGAGACATCAGGGCTTATCTATGATCACAGATACGTCCTTTGGAGAAGACTCAGCTTCTGATGCATAAACCTCAAAAAAGCTGGAGAGGCCTTCTTCTCGCTTCTCACCTTCCTCTGTGGGCACCTTCCTGAGAGCAGGAGAGGAGGAGGCCGMGGAGACAGTGTGAGGAGCACCGGAGTCTTCACAGGCTCTGTTGGAGGGGACGTAGGAAGGGAGGAATCAGAAGGCTGCTGCTTTGATTGGGAGGCACACAGCTCTTGTCCCCCGGGGCCCCAGACTGAGGCAAGAGAGGAGCTCTTGATCTGGGGAGCTGCCTTCTGATACAGGATGCCCCACCATCATCTTCAAGTAGCCAAAGCTACACACATGCATTCTCGTGACCAGTGCTGACCATTTAGGTAGTTGAAGTCCACAGGGCCACAGGTGGTTTGGAAAGAATAGAATGCACACAGGAAAGGGCTTGGTAGCTTGGCAGGACTTGACTAGAACTCTGGATGCCCTTGATGTTTGTGTGGAGTGGGAACATTTTCTCCTGCAGTCTTGGCCCAGGAAGTCTCCCGGGGGCCCAGGCAACCTTCCCCGCCCTCTCAGCCCTCCTGGCCTGCAGTTTGAAGGGGTGGTTGCTGTTGGGTGTTAAGTGGGGAGGACCSTTGGAGGTCGGGGAGAGAGCAGCTCTGCCTGGAATTCTCTCTCCAGGAAGCGGCCCTGGATTCATCGCAGTCGCTGATTCCATCTCTMGTGCCTCTTTCCCTTTCCAAGGTAATGACTGACACTTCCGCTGAGTCTGTCTCTCACAGTTAGAGCTGCGCTTGGGGCAGGCCTGTGGCAGCCAGGTGGATGGCTTGGGGACAAACCTTCCCACTGCTTAGAAAAGTGAGAATCACCCAATTTTGGTTGGTGGGTCTCTA